CCCCCCAGCCCCCCTGGCCTGCTGGGCCCCCACCTCACGAGGCGCGCCCGACGCCAACACCGACGCCCCGGCCGACGCGACGCCGGCGCCTCGCTGAGTCACGTCGCTCCGGGACGGGCCCCGCCGCACACCGGGCGGCCACCGCTCTCCACCCGCCCGCCGAGGGGCGTAGCCTGCGCCCGCCGGGGGGCGTGCCTAAAGCGGGGGCCTGGCCGCCGGTGACCCAGAGGTGCCACGGCACAGGCCCATGGCAGCCCGGCACAGGCTGGTGACGCGCTCATGCTCGCGCTGACGGCACGGCGGCCCATGGCACGTCCAATGGAATGCGGCTGTGGCTGCGGCGGCGGGGCCGTGCATGGCCATGAGCTGCTGCTGCTGCCGCCGCCGCTGCGCGCCTCACCTCGCCGCACCGCGTGCTCCGGCCCCGCCGCGCTGCACCGCGCTCCACCTCTGCTCCGCCGAGGCTCGGCGCGGCCAGCCAGCCCGCCGTGCCCGTGCCCGCCATGGCTACACGGCCCTACCCGTCGCGTCGGCCCGCCCCACCCCATGGCAGCCAGAGGCTTGGCATCGTAGCGCCGCTCCGCTCAGCTCTGCTGGCGAGGCGGGCCGGGCCGCGCGAGCCGCGCCAGTGCGACCAGAGGCCTGGAGGAACGAGTACCCTGGAACGTTACGCTGCCGTCGCTCCGGCCGCCCTCCAGTCCACTCCATAGTCCAGCGCCTGCGTGCGCCAGGCGGGTCAGGTGAGACGGCCGAGCAGGCCATCAACAGCCGTCGCGTCCCCAGCGCCCCGCCCAGGTGGGCGCGTCACCCAGCCGCCGCAGCTGCGCCCAGCTGGCGAAGGGACCCCACCTGCCCCACCCTACCTGGCCCGCGGTGCTGGCCGCGTCCGGAAGGGAGGTGCTTCCCATGTCGCCCGGGGGGCTTACGGGGCCGTGGTCGCGGAGCGAACGCAGCCCGCGGCTCGCACCTACGCGTCAAGTGCTTCAAACCAGGTCCCGTACGCGGCCGGATCCCGTCGTGGCGCCCTCCCCGCTCCGCCCCGTGGGGCCTGGAGTTTCCAGTGCAGTGCTGTGCTGGGCCCCTGGCTCCGGCATAGCTCCGGGGCCCCCGTGGGACAAGCAGACGCAGCAAGCGCAGCCAGTGCCGCCGCGGGGAGGGCCGCCTTCGACGACGCCTCCACGCCTATCTATGTGGTCACTCCACTCCAGGTCGCAGGGGAGGGAGGAGGGAGAAGGGAGAGAGGCGGGCGCGGGGTTCGTGACGCGGGGCGCGCCAGTGACGTTGTCCAGGTGACGGCCGACTGCCCGATCACTATATGCAGCGACAGTGGCCTGGCGGCCTGCAGGCTTTGTTTTCATGAGCTCGACCTTTACGGGGGAAGGAGGAAGGCAGGGAAAAGTGTCTATGTGTGATGTGTGTGTGTGTGTGTATTGGGGAAAAGGGGGGGGGAGGGGCTGGAGTTTAGGGCGTAGGGAAGAGAGTTTCGAAAGCAGTTGGTTGAAAGAGAATAATAACAGGGAATGACAAAAACTCTGTAAACATGAATATTTTATTATTATTCTATTGTCATTGATGATTTGAGGTTCCAATTTATTTTATTTTCCACAGAATCCGGAACGTTACAACCAAGGGAAGTTGAGTCTGGCTGTACAACTGAGTGAAGAGTGTGACCGAGCCCAAAACAAAGACGCCTGGGAGTTAGCAGATTTGCTACGCAAGCCTCATGTAAAGGTATTTTCCAAAACCCAGATTTTGAATTTAGTTATTGCATTCTGGTTTTTTAATATTATTTTTATCTTCTAGGCAGTGTTGGGCACACACGATGTGGTGACTGGAAGAACAGAGGAACCTGATGTTTTACTAGAGTTCCAGCAACCAGAAATATTGAGGAAAATGGATAACAGTGAGATTCGTATGGTGGCAGTTAGGAGAGGTCACAATGAGCCACTTGTAAGTTCTTATTTCAAACAATGAACTAATTTTTATCATTGTTGACCTTTATTTTCAACCATTAATTCAATTTTCATCTGTTTAAATTAAAAGGGAATGACAGTACAAGTAGACGAAAATGGCAACCTGCTGATTGCAAGAATTCTTGCTGGCGGTATCATAGAGAGTCAGGGGTCTTTGAAAATAGGAGATTTTATTTTGGAAGTCAATGGTTACCCCGTGGACTCCCCTGAAGAACTTCAGGAGCGAATTGCTTACTCCAAAGAAACCATAACATTCAAAGTTGCGCCAGCAAAAGAGGAAAACAATCAGACATCTAATGAGTATGCAACAAATGTAGCAAAACAGAATGGTGCAAGCTCTGTGGTAAGCTCAATAAAATATTTGTAGCATGAATGCAGTGTATAGAAGGTATGGTTTACTCCTGATAAAACTGTTAAAAGTTCTAACTTGATCATTCACACAAATTTCAGTGTTATATGAGGGCACTCTTTAACTACAACCCATTGGAGGATACACTTCTTCCATGCAAAGAAATTGGTTTGGAATTCCAGCATGGTGACATTCTACAGGTAGTGACTTACTCATTAAACCCTCAAATAAACTAAATTACTTTAATTATTTTTATGTCTTGTGTAAAAGAAGTTTTCAGAACATGCAGCTATTTTTTTCTTTTGCAGATTGTAAACCAAGATGATCCGAATTGGTGGCAAGCTAAAAGGGTTGGATGGAATGGGCCAGCAGGCCTCATTCCCTCCCAGGAACTTGAGGAGAGAAGAAAAGCCTTTGTTGCACCAGATGCTGACTATGTGCATAAAATTGGAATATGTGGCACAAGGGTAAGTTCCAAATACCTACAACAAACTTAAAATAAAATACTAAAATAATTACTTAAAAAAATTCTATGTTTTGTAAAATTTTAGGTGTCAAAGAAAAAGAAAAAAATCAAGTACCAATCAAAGTCAAACAATGATTACGATAAGGCAGAATTACTGCTATATGAAGAAGTCACCCGTATGCCTCCTTTTAAGCGCAGAACTCTTGCTCTAGTTGGATCGCAAGGAGTTGGACGTCGCACACTGAAAAATCGATTAATCAACAGCAACACTGACAAGTTTGGAACTATTATGCCTTGTGAGTGTTCAACAGAACTAGTTTCAAACCATTCATTGCTTGAAGTCAAAGGAAAATTTATTAAAGGTTCTTTTTATTCTAGATACCTCTAGACCGCAGCGAGATTATGAAGACAATGGAAAGTGCTACTGGTTTGTAGACAGAGAAACTATAGAGAGTGATATTCGCAATCACAAATACCTTGAATATGGTGAGCACAAAGGTCACATTTATGGAACAACATTGGATTCAATAAGAGAAGTCATCAATGATGGGAAGATGTGTGTCCTTGACTGCAGCCCAGCAGTAAGTAAATTGTGTGGATAAAGTCACAATCAAAGTACAGGGTTACTCTTTTAGAAATCTTATTTATAATTGTTATTTTTAGGCATTGAAGATCCTCCACAATTCGTCAGAATTCATGCCATACGTCATTTTTATTGCTGCACCTGGTATGGAGCAGCTTAAAACTCTCCACAATTATGGCAGGGGAAGCAGAAACGTGATGGTAATTTAAACTTTAATTAAGGAAAGTTAATCTGTTTTTCACAAATTTTGAGATTTTGTAATTTTACAAAACATTTATTCTTTACAGTTTGATCGGCAGAGTTCAATAAGATTTAGCTCACAGAGGGCTCGCACACTTCAATCTCTCCAAACAATGTTTGAGGTAAGGCATGCATATTTAATATTATCTGATGTGTGCTCCTATGACTGAAAACTAACGCATTATGTACTGTCATCATAGGAAGAAGATCTTTTACGTATGGTAGAGGAAAGTGCCTGCCTGCAACGTACGTATGAAAAGTACATAGACTATGTCATTGTGAATGAGGATCATGATGAAACATTCCGTAAGGTGGTTCAACAACTGGAGACCCTCAGTTCTGAGAACCAATGGGTCCCAGTCAATTGGGTGTACTGAGCAGTGATATCAAACATGTATGTGTTCTGTGTTGTATGATATATTTTGTTACTGATGCCAGAAGTTCTTTTCTTTATAACTTAAATGAGCTTTATTCTTGATGTGCCTATCTTTTTATGGTTTTCATCAATGTGAAATCAAACTGTTGTTTTGTTCATTGTTTATTGTACATAAAAATAGCTTAAGAAAACAAATACTTGACAACAATAATATCAAGTTTTTGAAAAGCACAACTAGTATTAACATGAAATGAATTTTCATTAAATTTGTAAATATCTCATATTATTCTCACATTTCATGTGAAAAAGAAACTGCCATTAATGAAGTAGATTTGAAATGTACAGATTCCATACCTGTACGGCAGGAATGTTTCATTTGCAAGAAAATCCGTCCAATAATGTGATTAAATAAGTGAGGAGTCAACAACAAAAAAGATAAAATAAATGATGATACACTTTCCTACTTGATCTTGCTTGTTTTCTTTCACAAATTAAAAAAAAAAAACATAAACAAAAGATGTAGTGCACCAGGAAGTTGCCATAAAAAATTACAGAGTTCAGAAAAAAATTAGCTTAAAGTTTATTTTTTGAAAAAAACAAAAACAAAATAGAATGTACATCAGTCAGGGGAAAGAAGAGGTTGAACTTTGTTATTATTATGATCGACTGCTCTTAACAGAAAACTGAGCCACTCATTATCCATTTCTGCTGTGACATCACTTTGTCTGGCTAGCTCAAGGAATTCTCTCACCACTGTCACTACAGAAAGAGCCTGAAAAAATGAAGATACATAGAGAATTATCAGGACCTGAATGTACTAATACACACTTGGTTTTCTGGAAAAACTACCTGAAAAGACAACTTAAAAGGACATTATGTTTAAAGGACTTACCGTAGAACTAACAGCAGATTTGTTCATGGGGGGATAAACAGCTGCGACAAAAGTATCCACAGCCGGGCTTAACTTTTCTGCAGCAACAGCCAATCGATCAAGTTGCTGGGCTCCACCAGGTTCCTTGCAGTTACCTCTAAGGCGAACCGCTTCTGAAACCTGTAAAACATTGAATGGATCATTAGTTTTCCCTTCGAAAAAGGATAAATATTTTTTTTTATGAACTTCAAGAAGCTTACCTTTTTAATTGATGCACGAGCAGTACGTACAAGGCCCACACACGGGGCCAAGAGTTCTCTATCTTGGTTAGTCCAATTTGCTGAATTATCTACCTCCTCATTCTCAGAAAGACGAGAACATTTCACCTCCTTTATAAATAAAAATAGGATAAAAGAATCTCATTACAATTAAAACCAAATCAAACAGTAGTCAAGTTTATTTTAAGAGGAAGCAATATGAAAACAAACCTCTTCAATTTCTTGGAGTGCATCAGTTAGAAGCATTTCTTCTCTAGCTAATAGTGCTCGTGTAGCAGCTAAATTATCTCTTGGCAACTTCTCTAAAGCAGAGCAGGCTTCCCATACACAACCAGTCATTTGCAACTGAGGACCACTTTCAGCTCTATAAGAAAACACAAAGATATATAACAGTTGTTAATTAACACTAAGGTCCTATAACAAGGAAATTGATACTCACGCTTTTAATGCCTTTAGTAAAGTAGCCAATGCTTCTCCAGTACGTAATACAGCTGTGCGCAATTCCTTTCGTAGTAGGCTACCTTTGGGAGGAGATCTACGGCATGCAGTCACAAGTGAGGTCCATGCAGCCTCAACACCATTGACAATACTCTGGGCAATACTAGCGGCAGGTTTTGGAGGCTGGGTGAGTGCTAAAGTCAATTTAGCAACTTCACTTGCAATTTGTTGAGTGGCACCTCCTGTTAGGATTGCATTCAAATTTAATGCAAATACAGTAAAATTGACAATTTTGAAAGAAACATAAAATACATAAGAAAAATTACTTACCAACATCTTGCCAAAAGTTATCAGGTGTAGGTGCAGATTCATCTTCTTCCTCAAGAGGAGCTGTATGGTAGGTACAATACAAAACAAGTGCGTCAAGCACAATCAACAAGTAATGCTCGTACATTTGGCAGAAGAGATGAGTTAAAGACATTGACAAACCGACATTAGACAAATGCTACTCTGCCACAAAACATGATCTTTAAAATAGTCAATAAAAATACGATAAAATGAAGATTCGAAATGCATTTTTGTGAGTCATGTCATCCGCCCAGTCTCAGTACATGTAGGACATCCAAGAGAATAGAGAATTTACACCATACATTAGAGTGACCTTGTGGGCATTAAGACAGCACCAAATGTGTGTTCAAAACATAACACCGTCTACATGCAATGACAAGGGTTCGCAATGTCGATTCATAAACATCTGATGATGAACTTGCAAAGTGCGCACAAAGTGACCACAGAGATCGGCCAATGCTTTAGGCACACCAGGCTATATAACCTCCCTTGCCAATATTTTACCTTCTGTCAGTTCCTTCAAAGTTTCCTTCACGCTGCAGTGCGCCGTTTCCAACACTTTTGCGACTGTCAGGGCCATTTTTGCATTTAAGGGCATAAAATTGAGATTACAAATATTTGAAGGCCATAACACGTTGCAATGTTTAGCTTAAATCTGCCATGGGCCGGATCGGAAGAGCCGCTATCGACATCAAATCGAGATGAAAATCGATAGCAAAATTACTTCGATATCTACCAGAAAATTGAAAATTGTCGGGAATTACTGCTTGTTTTGATATTTTACGGGTTAATAATAGCTAAGAAAAAAATCAAAAATTGATTTTGCCCGGATTCATTAACGGAAAATTTCCTCACTGCGGTTAAAGCGGTCCGGTAGCCTTCACTCTAACCCTTTCAAAATTCACCGGTAGTCCGTTTTCGTCTCTCTCGCACCCATTGCACTGCGTACGGGTGAGAAAGAGACGGAGATTACGCTCGGACCATTCAAACGCACCCCATCTGTAGTTGAAGTTGGGAATCATCGCCGCTGTGACTGCAGCAGTAGCGGTAGAAGTGGTGTTTGATTGTGATTTGTATGTTCTCGTCTATCCCTGCAGCCCTACGTCTCGCGACTCCTTCACTTCGGTACGAATCAAACAAAAAGGGACTAAAATTTTCTGTTCGCTATTCAAAGTTGTATTTTGGTCGAGGTCATTACCCTCTAAATACGCTCGCCAGCCCCAAGCATAGCATAGGCCAAAGCAGGGGCAAGACGACCAATTGTTTGGGCGTAGCATCTTCTGTCCCTTTTACGTCGTATTTTCTCCTTTGTTTGAATCGCCAAAGCAGTTCCTTATGTTCCATAATAAGTGTTGGACAAGTTATTCCTTCGGTGGTTGAGGGATCCAGGTAAATTGCTCCTCAGTCAGTGAAAAGCCGACGTTTTTGCGAATTGCATTGTGCATCAAAGAACTTGTGTTCATTATTGATTTTTGTACTGTTAATCATTTCTATTGATATTAGTGCTTTTCAATAGTTTCATCCGCATCCCAACGTTGCTACGACCTTTCTTAGTAATTCCGTTTTCGTCTATCTTTAAATTTTGGGCTAACCTGATCTTAAATTTTTAGTTGTAGGTTATTTATTTTTTAATTTAATGTTTTATTGCTTTTGTTACCATGTTGATGAGTACGTTTTTGGAGAGAGTTGTTTGCTCTTTTAAAAGTATTAGTTAGTTAATCCATCTTTTTTGAGCCTCTTTCAAGCCTGTAGATGTCAGCCAATGTCAATGGCCTGTGGCAATTCTCACTTGTATTTCCAGTATGCCCTCCTTTAACTCTTGCCACCCCTTTCACAGTGTGTGCTCTTCGTGATTGTACTATTGTATTTGTTCTAATCTTGAGAACTGGCACCTTTATCACATATTGTAAAATAACTGGATGACATTATGCTTAATCTGTATCCTTGAAAAACTAGCCTATTGACTAATTTTGGTAGAGCATTATGGCTTTGGTGGTTGCAGTGTTATAAAAACAAAAGCTCTGAGATTTGTTTTTGAAAACTCTAACTATTTTGTTTAAATGTTTGTTTCTTAAAATTCTTTTATAAAGGTGATGGCGTCTGGGGCTGGATCAAGTGGAGCAGGACGTGGTCGAGGCACACCCTCATTAAACGATAATAAAAGTGGTGATAGTAAGGATAGTAAGCCTAATCCAAAGATGTCCAAAGCTCTCAGTACATCTGCTAAAAGGTACGTACTGAATTGAATGTTGACTTAGAAGCTCAAGTTCACATAAGTAGAAGTTATGGTGAACTAAGTTTAGTTTTTACCTATTTGTGTACTGTAGTCTTGCTAAACTATTGATTTACATTGACTGTTGCTCCACCATGATAAAGTAACTACTTAGTTATTCTGTTTCCAACTGTGATGCAAGGATGCTGAGAATTAAGTCATACATGTGTTTATTTACTTCTACCTTTTTTTTCCATTCTTCCAGAATTCAAAAGGAGTTAGCTGAAATTACCCTTGACCCACCTCCAAATTGCAGGTTTGCTCTAATTAGAAATGATATATCTATTTATTATCTCAAGTATGCATCAGAAGTTGAAATGTTTTCTGACCAATTCTTTTATTTTTTTTTATAGTGCTGGTCCTAAGGGTGACAACCTATATGAATGGGTCTCCACAATTCTTGGACCGCCTGGCTCTGTGTATGAGGGAGGTGTTTTCTTCTTGGATATTCATTTTTCAGCAGAATATCCTTTCAAGCCACCTAAGGTAATATTCTTTTTACAATTACAGTATCCCCAGGATTTCTTGTTACCATTGGAATTATTTTATCTAACATTGGTATGTCATTTTTATTTCAGGTGACATTCCGTACCAGAATTTATCACTGCAACATTAACAGCCAAGGTGTAATTTGCTTGGATATTTTGAAGGACAATTGGTCTCCAGCACTCACGATCTCTAAGGTCCTTTTGTCTATTTGCTCCCTTCTGACTGATTGCAATCCAGGTAATGTACTTAGCATAATCTGTTCATGCACTCTTAATTCTACTCCCTTGATATACTAATTTTACTTTCCCTCGTACAGCTGACCCTCTTGTGGGCAGTATAGCAACACAGTATCTGCAGAATCGTGAAGAACATGACAGAGTCGCACGATTGTGGACCAAGCGTTATGCTACGTGATATGGACTTCTGTTCTTTTACTAAGGGTGATCTGGACACAGTATGTCATGAGCAATGACAGTGTCACTGTTAATGGCAGGGTTGTGTGAGTGTATTTTACCCTGCAGTATATAGATTCTTCTTTTTTTTATGTTGTGTATGACCTTTTTTATGTTTAGAATTTAAATGAAATTAGATATATCTAAATAAGAAATAAAATAAAGTAATGTGTCTACATGCTGAGAATTCAGCAACAAGGCTGTTGCTGGCTCTCCAGGAGCCACAAATTAAAGACTTTTATACTTGCATATTTATCTATTTTATTCTTCAATGTGGACTACCTAGCTGATTTAAATGCAATGGTTCATTGGAAAGTATGATTAACTAAACCATTAATTAATGCTCTAGGATGCAATTATTGTTGTCGGGCAAGAGGACCATTTTTGGTTTGATATTTGTTGTCTGATGTTTGGAACATAATGTAATTTTGGTGCTTTGTGATGCTCAAGTCAAATGTATTCCATTGTTCCTAACCAGCAAGCGTGTGCTGCCTCCCTTGCACTTTGTAGGCATGGATCCTACTGAGGGCTTTCATGCAGAAAATGAGGTAGAAAACAGTCTGTTCTGTGATTTGTCAATGAATTGAGACTCATGTGGAAAGTTTCTCGTAGATATGCACTGATTTTTCTCTTCCTACTTAGCACAAATATGAGTTCATTTTAATATCTGAGGATGAATGGTTGTATATGTCGATTATATGGAGTGTTATTTGAAGAATATCGAAATTGGTGTGCCAGAAATTTTATGTTAAGTTTGATTAAACTCATTTTTAAAAAAGCTATTATTATTTTTTCTTTGGGTAGGACTTGCTTGTATTCTAACTTAAGTGTGTGAGGTATAATTCATGTTTAATTGCAGGCCTCTGATATGAGTTGTCCCATTTTCTTTTTCTGCTAGGAGATTGATATTGTTGGTAAGCTGTGTCCTGATAATTTTTCAGTTTCTAATTTAATTAATTACTTGAATATCCCCATGAACTGTATTCCATCATCTGGTGAAATAAGAAATCTTTTGAAATTAAGTACAGTTAAGGCTTTCTTTGCTGTCACTTTGTTTTGTTTTTATGGAAAGCTAGTAAATCCTAATGAATGGGATAAACCAGACTGACTTTTTAAAGGAAATGTCTTGTGCTTTGATAGCTTCAGCTCCGTAGGACTATGTGTGGTGGGATTCATCCCTGGACTTTTGTCGATTTTCTTAAGTGTGTTAGATTGCAGATTAGGTCTGTCTTGTTCCATATCAGTGAGTGAATAAGCCAATCAAACAATGACCGTGAAAGAGAATGTTTCATGTCAATAAAAACAATAATAATTACTGGTATGTGAATTATTGTTCTTTTACCTCATCCTTCCCAGGTAGACAATGATTCTTATTAAAGTCTCTTATCACTGAACTGCAGAACGAAGCTAATGGAGCAGTTTTAGTGAACCAGAGAACCAAACACTTCTATAACTTAAAACATGCATCTGTAATATGTACAGATCTCATCTCACTCTGGAATCACAGGAGACGGCTGTCCAGCAGCAACCGGTTTATCTACAAGTGTTCATTTGGTGGCCTAAGCTCCCGGCGCTCAACCTCATGATGCCAAAATTAACCCTCACTGCAGTGGCTTGGGGTTGCGTTTTTCTATGTCACTCTCGTGGCCAGCTGACCACTCCCCGTGGGGAAGGCCCTCTCCAGAGACAAGCCCCGGAGGGGGGGGGGGCAAAGGGGCGGTGCCGCTCGGCTCGGAGCAGCAGCCGTAGAATGGAGCGGTGAAAGTGGTCTGCAATGGGTGCGAACACGGGTTAGTCTTCTGTGTGTGAAAGAAGAAAGAAGATTTGTGTTTGTGGGAGGTTGCGGTCGACAATTCGTATGGGTCTGGCAGAGCCACCTGTTCGCCTGCTCCAGGTCCAAGTCGTCACCGCAAAACGACACCGAGATAGCTCCCCGCGTGATCAGGGTTGGCACAATTTTTGCTGTGTTGAGGAGTGGCATGATGGTTTGACTTGGCCGCACTTTTCGGAGGGGAGGGGGTTGCTGACCGAGGAGGGGTCGAACGGGCTGAGCCCGGGCTGGCAGCGTAAGCAAGGGTAACCAGTTCGGTTGGGAGATCGCTCTCCAGCGCCAGCCAGCGCAGCGCCTCCAGGCCGCCTCCGCCGCTCCCGTCGCGTCCTCTCGCTCTCCCCCTCCGCGTCGCCCGCCGCAGGTGGGAGAGAGACGGAGGGGCCCGGGGCGGCGCAATATCCCAACGCAGCCACTTGTGTGCAACAAGACAAGGCGAGATGGGCGCGGGGAGGGAGGAGGAGAGCGAGAAGGGGGAAGGGGGGGACAAAGACAGCCAAGACACCACCGCCAGCAAGTCGCCAGCGCTCCTGGCGGTGCAGCGCGGACCTACCAGGCAACCCGTACCAGCGAGAGACGGTGGCCCCACCGGCGGTTGGGACCGACCCGCGAAGGGGCGCGGGGCCCGGTGGGGGCGCTGTGCGCCGCGCCTGCCGGGGCGGGGCGGGGCGGGGCGGGGACGCGGGCAAGAGGCGCGGAGGGGGCCGCGGAGAGCCGGTCGACCGAAGGCAGACACAGACGGTCCCCCCGGTCAGTCCAGGCCGCGCCGCCCCGTGGAGAGCAGAGCGAGCAGAGCCCGTCCCGTCCCGCGCGCCGCGCCTCCTCGCCCAGTGACTCGACCGGACCGGTCCGACGGCAGCGCAGCGCGCACGCAGGCCAACAAGTGCCACACGGTGACCTCCCGCGCACCCCCCCCCTCCCCCCGGCTCTTTCGCGCGCGTGCGACCGCGTGTTTGTCTGTGACCGGCAGCGCGCCGCCGCCGCCGCCGCCGCAGCAGCCCGGCTGTGTTTGTTGTGTGTGGTGAAAGTCATCATGCCGTAACCATGTGGATACCTGCTCGCCGTTCACCAGCGTCGCCACCAGCACGACCATCGTCGGCACCCTCGACGGCGCCGCACCTGTAGGCGGCCGTGCGAGCCGTGCGTGCGCTCGACGCTCGACGGAGACGGAGGTGCGTAGCGCCGAGCGCGGCAGCGCCAGGCAGAGCATCGCGGCGGCGTGGCGCGGAGTAGCGCTTGCTTTATTTCGGTGTCAAGGCAAGTCGCAACGCGAACACAAACCCGGCGCGAGCGCGACAGCGTGGACGCGCCCCCCGGGTGCTCCTCGTCGCGGTCCTCCGCGTGCCGGGGGAGCGTCCTGGGCGGCCGCAGCGGCGCCCGTGGCCCCCCGCAGCCTCTAAGGTCCTCCAGCCTCCAGCCGTCAGAGGGAGAGCGGGGGGGGGGGGGTCGCGCCGGTTGACAGCTGGCCTCATGTCGAGGATCCAATCTGTGGGTCATAAGTGACCGTTCATGAACCCGTCCATAGGGGCGTAAGAAAGGAGCGACGACGACGAAGAGCGAAGGAGAGAGAGAAAGAAAGAGGGGGAGAAAGTAGGAGGCTGGGCTGCAAGCGGGGCCGGGGCCGGCGCAGCGCCCGCCCGAGTCTTCCGCGTGCGGACCACATCCGCCACGTCCTGGCGCGGAGGTGGCGACAGCGGTCCACGCGCGCAGGCCAGGCCTCCAGGAGGCTGCAGGAGGAGGCCCTGTGACCCTGCAGGAGACAGATCCTGCTGCTGCCGGGAGTGTTGTTAGACCCGAACCGCGGGTATTTCCAGGGCCGCGCCGCCGCACGCCGCACACCGCGCTGGGATGAGCCGTCTTGTGGTCGCGGGGGCCCGGGCCGCGGGGAAGAGGGGAGGG